AACAACAAATTGTGTTCAGTTTTGAACTCTGTCTTCATGCCAAAGTATATGAAATGTGTATATGTTGCTCAGAAGGCCCTGATTGCCCTTCCTCCAGCAGCCTGAATCTTTGGGTTAATCATTCCCTTTTCTTTATGCTTTTACCATCTGTCTCAGTTATCTTTAGCTGCATAGCCGCCCACCCCAGAATTTAGTGGCTTAAGTCACACGTGATTCATTATCTTTCATAATTTTGTGGGTTGACTGGGCAGTTGTTTGCTCCCCAGGGCGTGGGTTGAGGCTGTTCATGTGACAGCATGCAGCTGGGCTGGGCTGCGCGCTCCCAACAGCATCTCTGTCATGTGGCCCGGTGCTGTCAGCTGGGCGCCTCTGTTGTTCTCCATGTGGCCCTCTCCACGTTGCCGTCTCCTCCCTTGCTACCTTCTCAAACAGGGGAGCCTGGATTCCAAGGGAGCCAGGGCAGAATCTTCAGGCTTCTTTAGGTCTAGGTCTGGAACTGACGCAGTCCCTACATCGTGATGGCCTGACTGGGCCCATCTAGGTTCCACTGGGAGGGAAACAGGCTCCATCTCTCCACAGGAGGAGTGGCAGGCACCGGCAGGGAGGGGAGGGATTGTAGCGGCCATCCTGGGAGGCCGGCCCCCACGCCATCCTTGTCCCTGTGTGAGTTGTACCAGTCTGGACTCATTGCAGGTGCTCCTCAGGGACCTCTCACTCATCCCACGGTGACTTCCTTGTGAGACGGGCCAGGGCTCTGTGTCCAGCCGGGCTGCTGGTCATCAGGAGAGCATCCCAGCACTCACACCTGAGGTCAAGGGTAAAAACTGGGCAGGTGCCACAGGGAAGGTGCCTGAGTGCAGTCAGGACTTTGTATGGGAGAGTCAGTTCAGTCTCTGAGTGGACAGAGGCCTCTGGGCAAGCCATGTGCCTCTGGGGACTTCATTTTGTGCATCTAAAATGAGGAATCTGGTCTTGTTCTGTTTGCATCTTCTGTGCTTCTAAGATTGTGGGTCTTTCCTGTCAGTAGCTTTGACTAATGCCCACATTTGTTGAAAAGGAAGATGGGAGAGATGGAGGGATCCCCACCGTGTGCTTGAGGGAAGGGCACCACATCCCAGCAGGGGCAGTATTTCCTCCCTTCCCCCCTTGCCAGTGTGCCAGGTGGTGGTGAAGAGCCGACTGGCTGTGAGTCCCGTCACCGTGGGTAAAGTCTCCCCAGGCAGCACCCCTTAGTATGTACTCAGGATGGGGTGCTCCTGGGACCTGTGCAGCCCCCTCAGCTTCCTGTATCTGTCTAAGCTGGGTTCAGGAAGATCCCAGCTTGGGGTGGGGGTGGGGGTTTGATAAAGGAGGAAATGGGACACAGGTTAGATCAGTCCAGAATATTTCGTGTATGTTTGGAGGTGGGGGTCTGCCTAGTTCTAGTTCTGTCCCTCCAAGGGAACAGGTGTGACCCCCTTTTCATTATATGCCTTGGGGGAGGGGCAGCTGGGGCTTCCTGGCAAGCAGCCAACTGAGGAGGCCGAGCTGGCACCACCCCTCTGAGCCCTACCTGCCTCACTGGTGGGGGTGGGGAGTTTCAGCTATAAAGTCCATGCAGTTCTGTGGGTGACACCATTTCATATCCGGCACCATGCTCCTGAGGGCCTGCTCACAGTCCCCGGGAGCTGGTGAGCTTTGCTGGTAGCCTCTGAGCGTGCCTTCCTTTTCTCCCTTCCTCAGCTCCCAACCTCCCTGCCCTGCCTTTCTGTGCCCTCTTCCTTCTCCCCTTCTATCCTCCCTATTTTCTCTTTTCTTTCTTTGATTTTGGCAGACACATGCCCCATAGGTGCACTTCTCTGCTGGAGCTGACTGAGAGCAGCAGTTCTCAACCTGTGGGTCGTGACCCACAGGAACTGTATCAAAGGGCCACGGCATTAGGAAGGTTGAGAACCACTGCGGTAGAAACCACTTCTGGTTTCTCCTCCCAGTACCCCATGTGGGAGGAGCCGCCCCTGGGTGGGCAGTTTGCACCGGAAGAGCGCGGTTGGCCTGGGTGGAAGACATTGCTCATGGGCAGGCAGCTGCTCTCCTGGAGCAGGGGGTGGGGTGGAGGTGCTGGGCCACCACACAGCCTGTCCCTGGCCTTGACTGGTCTTCTGGACCCAAAGCCTCTGGACATGAGGGTACCCTAGGAGAGCTCCGTGGCTGGGCTTTGTACTTTTTCCCTGGAAGCTCCAGGGTCTGTGTTTTGTGACAGCCATGGGCCCTATACAAGGCAGATTGGTCACCTGGCCTTTGAGCCAGCGGGCCCCATCCTTCCTGTTGGCTGGGAGGCTTTTCTCAAAATTATCTTCCTGGCAAGTCAGATCATTTTCCCACTAGAAGGTTCTGCTTTCAGTAGACTCCAGCCAGGGGCCTGAAAACAACTCTGTACTTGGAAGGTTTGGCTGAAGCTCCCCTGGCTGTTTAGGGCCTGGGCGGCGCCCCTCCCAGCTTAGTGGTTAGGATTGCTCCTGGCGAAGGTAAGGGAAAAGTCTGGGTCTTACCTGCAAGTTCCGAAGATTATTCCTGGCCTGACTCGGGATTTTTCCCCAGGGGACCCTGGGCTTCCCTCCCTTTCTGAACTTGGGAGAGAGCTCAACTGATGCTCCAGAGAATGCACGGGGTGACTGGGGATGAGGCTGGGCTCATGCACCCACACACCTGTCTGCTCACATGACTCTGGCACAGCAGAGAAAAGAGGTTGGATATGGCCCAGGCTCATTCTTGCTCCTGCCCTTGGTTTCTTTCATGCCTTGCCTGGCGTGTATCTCCTGCAGGTCCCAGGAGCGAGCACCCTGGGTGCTTCCCATGGACTGGATGTTGGTTTTCCTTGATGTCAAGACGCTTGGGAACTGTGCAGCCAACATCATTGCTTGCACCCCTTCGGGTCACAAATGGAACTTGCTTTTACCAAGGATTGCAGGCCTTAAAGAAAGATGCCTTTATGGGGTGCGACCTGGGGAGTCCTGTTGCAGCTGCTGGCTCGGCTCTGCAGCAGGCCTTCCAGCAGATGGACTGCCCAGCCAGTGCCTCACCTCTTCACGTCTTGACCAGGACTGGTCTCTCACTGTCTTGCCGCCCCCCCCCCCTTTGTTCTCAAGGGCTCTAGCCAGAGGCAGTTGTGAATATAAGGAGAGGGCTAAGAAGCAGCACCTGTCTGTGGATGTATGGAGGGAGGGAGAGGGTGTTTGTGGGGCTCTGGCAGCAGCAACTCTGAACTCATGCTCAGAGGCTGGCACGCAGTGGCTCGTCGGCTCATGGTTTGTTGCATTGCCACAGCCCCCCCCCCTTTACTTGGTGGGTGACTTCCCCCAGCTGAGCAAATACATATCCCTACTTGTGAAAAGTTTCTAGACATCACAGGGTAGGTGGACCTGGCGTCCTCCAAGGCTGACCTGTGCTGGCATGTGAGGGCGTGGCTTTCATTGCACGCTTCCCAGCCTAACAGCCATACATGGTCACTGTGGCTCCAGAGCTGCAGCGGTGACTCACCCCCAGGAGGCTGATGTAACAGGGGAGCAGCCAGAGCCAGGGAGGAGCTGCTGAAACCTGGGGGTGCAGAGCCCCAAGTGTCCCTCTCTCCTGCCTAGAAGCAGCCCAGGGCAGCTCTGTGTGCACCCAGGCCTCAGAGGAGAGGTCCAAACTTGGTTCCAGAGTTGCTGGCAGACTGCCGCTTATCAGACTCTGGGCCGGTCTTGCCCATCCATGTTGGTTCTGTATAATATGGTCTCTGACTGCAGGAGTTAGTTTTTATTTTGAAACCTTCCAAAATTGGTTCTTTCTAGAAAGAAGGGCCTGCTTATTTTTCCCTAGAAAATTGCTGATCTTGAGCCTGATTCTGGAGTGCTGCTGGGGCGGGAGGGGAGAGCTGTTTCAGATACTTATTTAGTCATGGCTTGTGCCGTTCAGGACTGTTTGGCACCAGGCCATGGAATTTTTCTGAGCATTTTCACATGAGACAGTTGTGAGATTTCCAGGCATTAACTGAGGCCCTTGACAGAGAAACTGGCCAGCCCAGCAGCTCTTGGGATCAGGATTAGAGTTAACTATTTATTCAGGGACAGCCACTAGGGCAGAGGTTTTGACTTGCCAGTGTTATGTGGTTCCCTGAGCCCAGGAGTCAGAAAAAAGAGAAATCTGTACTTTGGCAGGGGTGGGGAACTCGCACAGAGCACATGGGTTCAGCAGGAGGAGGGCCAAGTTCTAAAATGCGAGGTGTAAAACATCCACCTTGTCTTCACCTGTCCGCGACAGAATGAGAAAAGATTAAATAGAAAGGTTTTCTTTTTTTTTTTTTGAGACAGAGCCTCAAGCTGTCCCCCTGGGCAGAGTGCCGTGGCATTACAGCTCAC